ATAGATAGATAGATAGATAGATAGATAGATAGATGATAGATAGATAGATAGATAGATAGATAGATAGATAGATAGATAGATTTCAATAGACAAATTGAATTGAATTGATTTGAATTGAATTGAATAGAATATATGATAGATAGATAGATAGATAGATAGATAGATAGATAGATTTCAATAGACAAACTGAATTGAATTGATTTGAATTGAATTGAATTGAATAGAATATATGATAGATAGATAGATAGATAGATAGATTTCAATACAGACAAACTGAATTGAATTGATTAGATTTTAATTGAATTGAATTGACTATATGATAGATAGATAGATAGATAGATAGATAGTTAGATAGATAGATAGATAGATGATAGATGATAGATAGGTAGATAGATTTCAATACAGACGAATTGAATTGATTTGAATTGAATTGAATAGAATATATGATAGATAGACAGACAGATAGATAGATAGATAGATAGATAGATAGATAGATAGTTGCAGTTTGTATTGGTTTATTACTACTATTTGATTCAAAAGCTGATAAGAATAGACTATGAAGATGACAGCAGATTGAGCAGTAAAAACACTGAATATACCCCCCTCAATGGCACAAAAGTGTTTCTGTGGAGGCATTTGTGAAGTGCTGTTAATACTGACAGTACTGAAGGTCACGTGCTGAGCTGTTTTGTAATGTGGTAGAGATTCAGGCACTGTGTGAGTGTTTCATGGTCATGAGAGGCCTGACTGTACACTTGTAAAACACCAGATTTCCCTGTGCTCTGGAAAATTTACTAAAGACCCTCTTCACATGCTATTTCACTTTATATGGCTTTATGTAACTTTTTTTTTTCTTCAGTTTGTTCACATTTGACAATGCCTTATGACTTTCAGTTGGAACTATAAAGAAAGCATAGAAAAAAAAAACAATACACTGATGAAAAAGAAGTGTGGTTTTAAAAATTGCACTGTAATAGTCAAATAAAACGTTTTAAAGTATATTTCAAATCATTGTCTTAATCTTTTGTCATGCTTTAAAGAAGTACACATATTTTGATGTGCTGACTAACAAACTTGATTATAGTTTTAACTGTAGTGTGTTATTTGATATTACATTTATCGTTAGTATATCTTATGTGCAACTTCATTACAAATGTGTAAATACAGATACATTTAAATACATGACAAAGAAGTTTCTATAGAAATGGCATTAAAGTATATTTCAGTTTACCATAATTGCTTGTCAGTACATTCAGCAGTACATTATAACCATTACAATATTTCAAAGACAATAGAATTAATTACGAAATTGCATAAAAGGATGGACTCAATTTTTAATAGGCGGGTCAAAAAATGGCTCTAAAGTATAAATGAAAGTTTTAAAATATAAATTTAAACAATAACATGCAATGAAGTGTCTGAAAATTCATCTTTTAATTTGTATTATGTATTATAAATGATAAAATATGAAATATAAATTATTTATTATATTATTATAAGTACCCTTTAAAATAAAAGATAACAAATGAGGGCATTGCTAAATGGTTTCTACGGCATTCCGGGAGGATGCTTAGTCAGAAGAGCCCATTGTCTTTCAAATCAAGTAATGCTGTTTATTAAAAATCCAGACAGAGTTGTTTGGCAGTAACATTTATTGGTGTTTCCCATGAAAGTAAAACACATTTCAAGAGGGTGTTATCTGCCTCTCTCTCTATAATTTCAACACACTAGTTGTTTGTAACTCATCTGAACATCAGTTCCTCAGACAATCGCTTTACTTTCAAGCAATGTTGGGTGAGAAAGAAAAAAAAAACATGAATTCACCCAGTCACATGGTGTTACCCTGTTAGGTCATGTTCATGACAACATGAGTTCCTCATACGACAAACTGATGGACATGATGGGTAGCCGTGAAACGGCAGAGAAAACACTGCTCTTAAAGGTCGGCGAGCTGCTACAGGGCAAAGCAAGAGAAAGATAGACACAGGAAGAAGAGAGTGCGATATAGAGACATAGAGACTTTGAATATGCTTATAGAGGCATGCCAAGGAACTGCACACGCTAATATTAAAGCTGCAGAAAACAACCAAAGCGAAAGACAGGGAGAAAGATAGAGATACAGTCGCGAAAGCATACAACTTCTAGCCACACTGAACATGCTTGCTTAGCAGATAAATACGTCGGATAATGCTAATACAAGAGTGAGCAAGCTAGCGACAGTGCACTATATATTTGAAGCTAAGCTATCCATATTGCCACTAAAACTACCACCAGGTTGCACTGAACATACATATATATATATATATATGTGAATATCTGGGATTGTATTTCACAAGCTCGGAAGGCAAGGAGTTCATGCACGTGCAAAGAGAGCAGGTTTGTAGCAGCAGCAGGGAAAGACGGCACAGTGGGCGTTCCAAGGCTACCATGGTGAGGATGTCGATGCGTTTGTCATGATTACAAGAGCTTAAAATACACAAACTATGTGACACAGCTTGTTGATCCTGAAAAGGGACAGAAAGAACACTCATATCGCGAAAATTACGAATTTAGCGTTCCTTAAATGTTACAAAATCAGCTTTACCATTATGAAAATTAACCATGGTTTTACCTACAGATAAAACCAAAAAACCATGGTTAATATAGTTAAATCATGGTAACCACAAATTAACCATTTTTAATTGCAATAAAACTGTGGTTATACAATTGGTAATCAATCTGCCAAAAAACATGGTCACTACACTTTCGCTATAATAAAACCATGGTTAATTTTCATAACTATCCGGATTAGCTGGTTTAAGTTGGTCTTCCAGCCTGACCAGGGGCATTTCCCGTAGAATGACATAACCACCTTTGTATGATGCATCGTTGTAGAAACTAGCTAGCCATGACTTTTTTTTCCAGAAACGTAGACATTCGTCTTTCGAACCACGTAGATGATGTCAGGCAGGTGGTGGAGTGATAATTTCTGGCAATTAATCAGTTTGCGATCAAATTAAAGGGGTGGTTGATTATGATTTCACTTTTTGAACTTTAGTTAGTATGTAATGTTGCATAAACAACGTCTGCAAAGTTACGACGCTCAGAGTTCAATGCAAAGGGAGATATTTTCTTTTAAAGAAATCGCTGTTTAAGGACTACAAAAAAACGGCTGGTAGGGACTACAACGAGCTTCTTCCTGGGTTTGTGACATCACAAACCCCGATGTTTACATAAACCCCGCCCCCGGGAACACGCAACTACCCATAATGGTAAGGGAGCGTGACGTTTCCAGACAACGTGCACTAGGCGGTTAGCGAATCACAAACACACTGAGCCTGTTAACCAATCAGAGCCCACTGCGTATTTCTGAGGGAGGGGCTTCATAGAACCAGGAACTCAACAGACCGTTTTGACGAGAATGGAAACAGTGGTGTAGATTCAAGGTAAAATATGTAACAATAATGCGTTTTTTTAATGTGTGGAATGAAAGGTATAGATTGTAGAATGTGTTAGCTTGCTTATTTTTGCTCAAGTACATGATCTAAGTCCTTATGTCAAACTAACGAGAAACTATGCTTCTAACTACAGGTCGAGAGCTGTAATTCCACCACACAATTTTGCGATGCTGTTTGTGAATGTTTGCTGGAACGTTGGATTTGGGAAACACTAAATTGTTGATACCAACAAACTATGTTCAAACTAAGATGCTTTTGGGAAACACCCCAGGCTGGGAGACCAGCTAAGACAAGACTCAGTTGTGCTTTTCAGCAGGGTTGACTATTACGTTCTGCAAGGATACAGGCAGTAATGTAGCATTAGCAAGTCTACAAAGGATTTCAGCTTTAAAGCAACTCTCATCTCGAATGGATGTCCAAGCTGGGACACATTCAGACAACTCTCTGTTTCTTAAAACATCAAACTAAGAACATCCATTGGACAGATCATCATACATATACGCTAAAGTGCACAAGCTCCTCTTTAGGAGAACTAGACAATACTGGCAATTAATACTAAGGCAATACAGTTACAAGCACACAAAAATACAAATCGGCACAGGATGTCAAGTTTATCACTTGGGCACAAATACAAGCAGCATTGGTTCAGAAATGGCTCTCACAACCACCGAAATGTGCTATAATAATCATTTTGAGTTAATATGTTAAAATGCAGTGGCTTCAAGTGGATTTAAAGCCAAATCCTTCATCTTTGCAGTTACATAAGTCATCATATTCAACACATCTGACACACACACACACACGCACACGCACACACAAGCAGAATGTATCTACCATTTATGATTAAATATTTGTTGAATAGAGAAAATAATATTATTTACCACACAAATAGACTCTGCCTTATATACAATACAGTGATGTATTCACATAAATATGTACTTGGTCATGAACATCTTAAAAGTCTATTTACATACTATCATAGGGCAGAACCCTAATTATGCTTATGTGTTATTTTCTTTTTGGAATTTATATATATAACATTACATTTAGCTCTGTTAATACCTTGAAATATCTATAATTTTGTATAAGAAAGCTAAATAAGTACATGAATGGGTCGGTAAATTAAGAAATATATTGCTATTATGTAGAAAAGTGTTTTACTACATACTGTATATAGACTAAATTTGTAATTTAAACCCATGTTTTTTTTTTTTTTTACATACAGTATATAATATATGTGCTATTGTTTCTCTGCAGGGTACATTGTTGAAAGAAGGAATATTTGATTCATTTTTAATTTTCTTGCTTATAAGTGAACATCTACCCAAACTGTTTCCAAGACCAACTGTACGCTCGATTGCACTTTTCCAAGTATTAAGTTGGAAAATCAGAATTTCTGAGTAAAGAAATAAAGAATATTGCACGTCATTAGGGGGGAAAGGGAAATTCCCATTTTAAAGAGCATTTTATAATGCGAACAGGATTAGTCAAGAATATTTTGATTTTATAGTAAGATCATTTTTAATTTAATTTTGTTTTTATTTATTATTATACATTAAATTTTGTCAAATTTTAGAACTACAGTAGCATATAATATGCTACTGTATAGACATGTTTATATAACATTACTGTTCACTATAAATGCTGGCTATAAAAGCCTCCTGTCAATATCATTTTAGAGTGCACCATTATATTTGTACTTGTTTATGCACATACGTTAATTAGTTCCAACTATGTACAAACTTCATGTCCACACACAATACAGTTGGTCAAAACTGTTTTAAAAACTCATCCTATGGTCCTGTATCTTGTTAAATCGATTAAAGTCACACATTGTCTTGTGAATACAAAAGCTTCAGGTTCGATGAAGTGGTTTTGTCTCTACTATTATAATATAGTCTGTAATCTGGTACTTTGAATAACTGTTCAAATAGAAACTTAGGACCGTCACTGAATAGAAGCAAATAACTCTTCATATTCTCAATAAACACATGTAAACAAACAAAGTCATGTTAAAGACACTAAGATAGACAGTAAAAGCAGACGGTAATACTTTTACAGGGCTTTGGACCATGAAGCCCACAACAACGCTACAATACTAAAGTCTAGATATTTTCATATTGTCTTTTTTTTTTTTTTTTTTAAATCATACTACTTTTATATGACTTTGGAGAAGAGGAATCAATGATTTACCGTTACATTGACAACAAATATTCAATCCATCCAGGGATACAAGAATAACAGGTTTTGGAGTCTCAAGTTTTAAAGATCCTGTCCCAGTCGCTCAATCTCTTCAATGAGGAAGTCAATGTCTTCAAAGGTAGCAGCTGGGTTGGAGATGACCATACGGAAGAAGTTGACCTTGTCTCCCTGCGGTTGATAGCTCACCATGGTTGTTCCGTACTCCATCATTCTGGCTTTGATTACAGGGGCAACCTGTAAGGGAAAATGTTATTAGCTTTGGGCATGAAGAAATGCTTTGTGCATTGTGTTCATCATATTTTCTGAAGAAAATGTGCTTTTTTCCATACTGGAGCATGCTTTGAAAACGTATTTAAATGTATAAATTACCTTTATTCAAAAGTTTGGGTTCGGTAAGATTTTATTTTATTTTTTATTTTAGTTTTACAGTTATTTATTAATTTCTTTATTAGTAGTTTTTATTTTTTTTGATAACAACTGTAACATTGAGAAATGTTTTTATAATCTCAGATGTAATTTATTCTTATGATGGCAAAGTGACATTTTCAGCATTGTTACTCCAGTCTTAAATGCCGCATGATCCTTCAGAAATCATTCTAATATGCAGATTTGCTGTTCAATAAACATTTCTTATTATTATACATTTTGATATGTTTGTGCTGCTTAAAACTTTTGTTGAAACAACTATAAATTTTTTCAAGATTCTTTGATGAACAGATAGTTCAAAGGAACAGCATTTATTTGGAATCTTTTGTATCAATGTAAACACTTTCACTGACACTTTAGATCAATGTAAAACAACCTTGATGAATAAAAGTAGTAATTCCTTTCTTAAAAAAAATAAAAATAAATAAAATCCTGACCCCAAACATTTGAAGGGTACTGTTTTACTTGTACTGTATGTAAAAATGATATGTACTTTCTACATACTTTCATTTATAAAAAGCAAATGGAACAAAAACATTTTATTTAGGCACCTATATGCCAAGGTAACCACTAAAATCTTCATACTTAAAGGGATAGATCACCCAAACTCTATCATTATTTACTCACCCTCATGATATTCCACAATTGCTATTTTTTTTTGCCTGTATAATGAAAGTCAGGTCTCAAAACAACACCCGAGCCTGTTTGCTTTCATTGTATGGACAGCATTTTCATTTTTCATTTTTACATTTTTGAGAAATTTTAAAATAATACACAGCACAATATAATTTTACATTTATTTGGATTGTACAATTAATAATTTAAGTTATATCAATAGAAGAGTTGAATGTTGTATAAAGACTGTACGTTAACCAGTTCCAGCTAAATTCACTGCAGAATTGTAATACTTTAGATCAAAGCCAAATCATAATGTCAACCAGTAATATCAGTCCAGTGCTTCCTTGTAAGCATACATCCTGATGTTCTGTCCTTGACTTAGCTTGAGCAGAACTGACTTAATTAGATCAGTAGCTTTTTGGACAGTATGTGGGACTGTAATCTGAATAAAAGACACACATCTGCTCATCACCACATAATTACACTCACCTCCCCTCAAATCCTTTGCAGGTGTCCAGCTATTATCAACAGTGGAGTGTGTCCAGCACTTATAACCGCTTCCATCTCTATGAAACAAGCCTTGATATACTGGAACCTGTCCAGTGTCTTTTCATATACATCTTTAAATAAATAAAACGTAAAATACTGTATTGCAGTGTCCCTGCACCATAAATACACACACCTATGTGACTATATCCTGCTACTCAAGAGTCTCCAGAAAACAGTTTTAGCCTATGTAAAAGACAAAGCATAAGCATTCTAGTTTCAGGTAGATGAGGAGGGGTTTGTGGGTAGGGTTAGATAGAGACCCTCTTTGTATGACTAGCATGAACGCCATCTGTTTGTCCTAATAGCCAATTAGAGCTTTGCTGGCATGGGAGTGACTGAAGAGCAGCCAACCAATAAAAGGACACCTGATGAGCAGCCCCTACCCCTTCAATGACATCACTGCAGGGATGTCATTTTAGATATGTTTCTGGTTTGAAGCATCTAGACTTTACAAACAGACATCTTGACCCTTATGTGCTGTTGTGTTTGGGTACCTGAGACCTCATAATAAAATCACCTTTAAAAATCGCATTGTTTCCCTTATACAGTATATGTGTGTCTGTGTGTGTGTGTGTGTGTGTGTGTGTGTGTGTGTATATATATATATATATATATGTGTGTGTGTGTGTGTGTGTAAGGGAATATAAGGTAAACAATGTGATTTTTAAAGGTTCAACATCATTATATGTAATTTTATATATATATATATATATATTATATATATATATATATATATATATATATATACGGTATATACTGTATATATAATGATAAAGTTGCAATCGAGTATGTTTATAATATACCAATTTGTAATATGAAATAAAAGTAAAATAAATGAAATAATATTTCACAAATAATTATAAAATAAGCGCAAGTTACACATTGAATTAAATGTGAAATTTTAAAGTAGAAAGAATTAAATGGCATTTTCTTGTAAAACTTTGTCCAATAATCTTTGTTTTATTTATAACTTAAAAAAATCATTTTTAGAGTGTAATTAAATTCTTTACATGAGCTATCGCATGTTAGTCAAAATAAGTGTATGTCTTAAAATAATTACAAAAAGATGATTAAAACATTATTATTACTCAAATTAACAAGCACACTAAAAGAGTGCATTTAACACACTTCTTTTTCAAAGCGGACGTTCATCTGGCCTAAACAAAATCAACACATATAAGAGATAAATCAAATGGATGAATATTATTTAAACTGTAACCCTTCTGTATCACAGCACACTTACTGTATGTAACTATTTAGAGTTTCTTAGCATTTGGAAATTCTGCATAAATTCATAACATTGTATGTATGCTTTACATCTGGTATCTCATCAATAGGTTAATGGAGGATTGTTTGCTCTTTTGCATAATCCATTTTCATAAGATAACATCGTGAAATATCAACCTGATTTTTCAATGTTTTAAATATGTGTTTGGGTTATTAAAATATCCCTATGGGCTTTCAAGTTCATTTTTTTTTGTTACTCTTTCATTGTACCACTGCTGCAAAAGCAATATGTCATCTTCTGAAATGTCAAAGCTCAGTTCACATCAACTGATCGAATCCAGTTTTTCTCACCTTGTGCAGGCGCTTCATGTTCTCCACTTTGTCCTCCAGGTAGCGTACGCCCGGTGGAAGGTACCAGAAACACACATTGGTATGCTGAGGCTGCAAGGACATAAGACCACCAGATAGCATCAGCTTACATTCACACAATACACACAACTATCACTCAATTTAACCTACAACACACGCTTGCATAAATAGAGCACTCTGGGGAGTCCATTAAAGATCCGTGACAGAATATGTGATTACGGGCCGTCTGGGGTCATAATGGGAATTTTTGTCGCCATCAGTTTGGAAGCAGCCTTGTAATCTATTATATATATATATATATTAAAGCAGCTTCTATTAATTAATTAATTAATTAAAGCACATATGCAGAACACATGTTTAGTTTAATGTTAGTCATGAACATGAAGACTAATCACCATCGCAGCATATTTATACAAGAGCCCACCCATTAATACGTCATATAGGGGTGGGTTATATTATATTGTGATTATATCACAATAATAGACTGACACAGAAAATCAATTTGAATTGTAGAACAGCAACCTCACTGTTTAAAAAAAAAAAAAAAGGAAAATGTCAGAATTTCTGTCTGTCCATTATTGTGGCTATATTGTGACATTATTATTGGTATTATTGTGGGTAATATGCTAAGGGCGGTCAATGCACAGACTATCACTAGGTCTGTTTATGTGCTCTCTGAGATAACATGTTCTGTTTGCTCAAACTAAAGAACAGCAGAAAATGCATGCCAGTAGAAAAGGCCTGGTGTTATAGATAGTTTACTCCTTTGAACATTCTTCCTAATTCCTTGCCTTTCTAATTTCTCAATCTCTACCAAATATAAAGCACTGATGACAAGTTGCAGCAGAAGGCCAAAAGAATTAAATACATCTAATAAGACTTACCTTTCCATCAAACACCATCTTGTATCCTTCCCTGTCCTTAATCTTGTTGTAGAGATACTCTGAAAGCTCCAGACATTTGTCAATCTGAGCCTCAAAACCAATAGTGCCCTTTAAAGAAGAAGAGAGAGGATGAACATTGTGATAACACAATAAACCTCACTATACAACCAAACAATTTGGATGAAGAACTACTGTCCCAAATGCCTTATAGCAGTCGTTTAAGGCAGGCCCAATAAAAGTGCTGATAGTAAATGTTCACTTTTCATGGGAATGGAATACTGGTTTACTAGTTTAATTCAGTGAATGGCATCCAGTTATCTTGGTTATTTTGCATTTTTAATCCACTTTTGTGTAAACGTCTTAAAATTTGACAGTCAGCTGTAATTACTTCCATTCATTACACTAGAAATGGTCTATTCGGGAGTATAGTGTTGTTTACTACATATTTGGCAATTCTATTCATACAAAAAATTCATATACTGTGCACAGTGCACATGCTGCAGGAGCAATAATACAAATATGAGATGTTCATATAGCATACTACTAAATACAGCAGTACAATATCATATTACACACACTTAAAATTGCAAAATTCTGAATACTACTAGAAACTTTACAAGAATTTGTCTGAACTCTTACTCATGTTATCTCATGCAGCTGTAAGAACACAAACGTAAATCTGGAAAAAAAAAAAATCTCTACAATACCTTAGCTCTCCACATTAGCCATAGTTTGAAGATGTCCACATGGCGGCCGCACTGCAGGGCCTTGTCCCCTGTGTCATAGGACAGATCATAGTGCTTGTCCTGCTGGAACAGATAACAGGCCTGCATCTGATTGCAGCTCTGCATCAGACCCTGGAACACATAACACAAAAAGGGCAAAAAATTACAAAAAATAAAATACCTTGACGTTAGTCCATTAAAAGTCATTTAAAAAGTTGTTTAGGAATGTGTCTTTAATTTTGAGAAAAGCCCCCAGCAGCATTTGCTGGCAGGTGTCACTAGATCACACTTTTTGAAAGTTTGACTTAGTGGTTTAATACTGGCCTCTGTAATAATACGATGTGCTAATATGTTTTGGTTTTAATGAAGAAAGCAGACAGTCTCACCTCCTCTCGAACCAGCAGAGCCGAGCACTGCAAGGGTACAGCCATCATTTTATGGGGGTTCCAGGTCATGGAATTAGCCCTAAAGTTGGAAATAATTGAAATACCAAGACATTGTCCTTGAAACAGATGAATAGCTATACAATCACTTATTTTGATTCAGACAAGATTTCTCCCTTAGGCACTGTGCTGTGCAGTGAAACAAGTCAAAAGAAAAATGATCAAATCCATTTAATTTTATAAGGGGAAACTTTTCACACAGAAGTTTGTGGACTTCTCAATCATATTTCAGTCATGATTACTCTCTGAATTAATTTAACAAGCATTTATTGATAAAATTGAGGTGTACATTAGGTGTGTTTGGTCTTGGCTGACTAGATATGCTACACTGCTGAGCAAGTACAAATACTTGCTCTGTTAAACCTGCTTCGACATAAAGATATTAGGAAACATTCTGCTGCAAAAGGTAAAGAAGAACCCTTCATAGCAGATCTAGGCAGGTGGTGCTGGGGAGGAGGAGGGCTAAAAATGAGAATCCCTAGAGACCGTGCATCGGCTACAGAATACTAAAGAGTTACGTAGATGAAGAAGTGCAGCTGATAGGCTACTGCACCAGCGCCGAGAGAACCAATCAATGCATGGATAGTGTTTCATGATTTAGCAAGACATTTAATCCATAGGAACTGCAGATTGTACTGACCTCTTGACTCCATTCAGCTTCCACCGATGTTTCCGGGACATTAGCAAACTTCCGCCCCATGCTCCCTGTATAAACACAGAGACAGAAGTAATTTTAAAAGCAAACAGAAACATGTATGTCTTTCTCATTGTAAAAAAAGAGGTTTAATCTTGAGATACTAGATACATATGTATGAGATCTGACCCAAAGTATAATACTGATCTTTATTATATTTCTAAAAGCAGATATTGTTGTACATTTGTTTGCAGTATATGCATATATGTTCCTGTGGCTCAGTGGTAGAGCATTGCGTTAGCAGCGCAAAAGGTCGTGGGTTCAATTCCCAGGGAACACACATTCTGGTAAAAAATGTATTGCCTGGCAGCAGCTCTATGGTCTCAAATTGGCTGAGAATATTATGTACCTATATATATAGTAAATGCATAAATATATATATATATATATATATATATATTGTACTGACCTCTATATATATAGGTACATAATATTCTCAGCCAATTTGAGACCATAGAGCTGCTGCCTTTAGGTCAGATTAATGACGCTGAGTGGATTCAAATGCAATGCAAGTGTTTGAGCTTCAACATGCCACCATAATATGTCTGTGTTGCCGTAAAAATGCCAGAGGCGACAGCATCACCAGAGAAAAATGAATAATAATGAGGAATAAGATATTGCTATTAATCTTGTCAGCCCCATGAGAATGAATACGCACATGTACACACTCACACAGACTGAAGGTAATTCCTCTAATAGGAAACATTTAGATGAAGCTACAATTCTAAAGGAGGCCATTTAATACATGCTTGCTAAATTCACCCTATGCCACCTTTCAAACACAGCTGGTTCAGCATTAACAAATAATTTTTCCATTTTCCCGTAGATTATTTTTATGCAAAATATGCTGCAACCAAAAATTCTGGTTCAAGTTTCCTTGCTAGGCGTTCTCAGTAATTTCTAGTGAATTGCTAGGTGGTTGCTAGGGTGTCATTGTTGGTTGCTAGGGCACTGCAATATGGTTGCTATGGTGTTCTGAGTGTTTTTTTTTATTATATTACTAAGCAGTTGCTAGGGTGCTGTTGTTCTGGGTGGTTACTAGGGCATGGCTATGCAGTTTCTAGGCTGTTCAGATTGGTTGCTAGCAAACTGCAGTTTTTAAGATGTTCTAGCTGTTTTTTAGTATTCAGTTTACTTTTTCAACTTAGTCTAACTTAGTGTGTAATGTTGCAGTTTGAGCTCGGACTACAGCACGTTCCTGTGAAGTCATAAATTCACTCATTTAAATAATTCCCTCTAATGGAATACGCAAAAAAGGGGACGAGGCCTGGTTACGCTGCGTTAGAGTCCATAGACTGTTAAAAAAAATAAAAAACTCTGAAACGTCCGGTTAAATCCATGGTTGCAAAGGTTCAAGAGTGAAAACCTATTCTAGTACAAACCAAAAACTAAAACCTATTCTAGTACACACCAAAAACTATATCAAGCCTTCGTAAAAGGGCATAATAGAACCCCTTTAAGGGCTCTAATGGAGTACAATTTAGTCCTCAGTTCTGCATCCAAAGAACAATACTTCGGATGTGCCAACACTGAGATCACCCTTGGATCCCTGTCCACTGTCTATATTTCACAGATGAAACATTCAGGAAGTTCACGTAAGTTCAGGGAAGCAGATCTACTCACATCCACATGCATCCAGATATCATGCTTCTTACAGATGTCCGCTATAGCAATCAGGGGATCAAAGGCACCATAAACCGTGGTGCCAGCTGTGGCGCTGACAAAGAACGGCACATATCCCTGTGAGAAAGAAATCAGTGCATTATTCAAGGGCCCATTTTGCCAAAGAACCACAAAGATGATTTAAACAGACCCAAAAGAGACACGTTAGGCAGTCATGGAGACACGGTCATTGAAATTACCTTCTGCTTGGCTTCAATAATTCTCCTCTCAAGGTCGGAAGGAATCATTTTACCCCTAGAAGAAATGAGAGCAGTAAAGAAGTTATATGGTTTAGTGATTATAATGTTAAGACTTGCATTTCTCAATTGTGCAGTCAGGAAGAAATGCATCAAGTAGTGGTAATTCAGATTAACCTTTCATCAGCTTTAATACAGATGACACTTTCTGTACCAATTCCAAGTGCGGCTGCTCCTTTCTTGATTGAGAAATGGCTCTGAAAGGCATAATCAATCATCAATGCACTAAGCTGCCCATAAACACATGTATGTCACTATATATATATATATATATATATATATACATACATACATACATACATATATAATGAGTAGATGACATTCAATGCAAATTTGCTGTCTTTGAAGACAAACATTTTTTTTAGCAATATTTAAGAAAATGTGGGAATTGTCCCATGTGGTGTGACTATTTTTTATTTATTTTTTACTAAAATACAACAATTTTCAAAATGTGGACAGAAATACGGTGTACTATAACATATTATTGAGTAATATTAGCATTATCTATTTGATGTGTGTTTTCACAAATGACTGGTATTAATTTACATATTGCCTTAAAATAAAATAACTACTTTGATTATTATTAATTTCATTATTTCACTATTTTGATACTGATTATAAAGTCCCCTGCATTGATTAAGAAGAAGTGCTGTTTAAGAGAAACACCTTTACTACAGATTATTGTTAATTACTGTAAAAAAAAATTCAAATTCAATAATAATAATAATAATAATAATAGGATGATATGAGAATAAGACGAGAGAAAACATGATAAGAGAATAAAATGGACGTACATGTTCAGATGTGAAGGCCACCAGTCTCGGTACGGATGACATTCCTTTCTCCTTCACCTCAGGGAACATTTTATAGCGAGCCAGCAGCATGGCATACATATTGGAAATGGCGCCACCTAGAGGACAATAAAGTAAACCTTTCATTCCATCACTCAGGTAAAGCTTGACCGCTGTCAGTTTTTACTCAGGCCCTGAATGTCATTTACTCTGGTGTAACTGTCCACATTATATCCCAGTTGTGATTTGATTATCAGTGCCTACAATCCGATCCATTCTGTAGGTTTTTTGCAAAGTAGGGCAGAGAACGGCAGAGCAGAAATTGCAATCATTTGCATCATTCACCTCAAATATTATTTTTTTTTTAATTGGTCTGGTTGGAATCATACATTCACTGTTGGATAATAATTTTCACAACCCAAGAACACAAATAACCGAGTTTGTCTTTTTTTAAGATCCTCAAAGACTAATGGAGACATCCTCTTCTATCAACTTTTAGCCAATTCCTGTGCTTGCGCTCACGTCATAACAGAAGCACATATTAATATTGCATATTAAGGCAGGTCACGCAGATTGACAGCTGCTTACCCGGGGAGAATATTCCATCACCGCGGCCATCCTGCCAGCCAATGATCTCCCTCATCTTTTTCAGCGTGACGTATTCTAACAGCACGAAGACTGGAGCCACCTCATAGGTGAACCTGTTTGCACAGAGATCACGAGACCCAGTTACACAAGCCAGAAACAAATGTCATGACAAGCAAATATCACGACAACCTGTTTAGCAACTGAAGGGATTTTGCAACAGTCTGCAGGTTCTCCAGCAGTGTGTCACTGTCAGCTTAAGACAACGGTGGAAATGTAATTATTTCTGACAAGACGTGAATTTAAAAATATTTAACATTTGATTTCTAAAATAACCAATAAAACAAAGCTGAATAAACATGTTTTCCTCCACAAAAACTGTTACATTGTTATTACAATATTATTACATTGTATTAAGAATCTGTTAAATTTAAACTTTAATTCCCAACATAAAATGATTGTTCTTATTAGCCTGAATGTACATTTCATTTCCATCTCATTTTCTCTCTGTGAATTGCACAAGATGAGAGAGTGGAGTTTATATTTGCTGGTCTTAATTCATCAGCCTTATTCCGTTCAACTGATATCTGCGAGGGTAAGCCAGCCACCACAAAGACCAAGCCAAAATAATGCGTATGAAGGCAGAGAAAACTACAGTGAACGAGAAGTGCAAAACAAATCACAATTCTGAAAACAAAATAACAAATTACAAACGCAAATGCAAGTCTAAACAACAAAATAATAATTTAGAAAACACAACAACAATTCAGAAAACATTATAACAAGTCAGAAAACATGACAAATTCGAAAACAAAATAACAAGTCAGAAAACACAACGACAAATCCGAAAACAAATTAACAAGTCAGAAAACACAACGACAAATCAGACAAACTGGAAGAGGTAGGTATAGTTTGAGACAGCGCCATTGGTTTGGGATTACTCACCGCTGACTGGACTCCATTTTCAAATCTCGTATTAGCAATGGATTCTATTTACAGTAAGTGAAAATAGCAGAGTATTTTTAGCAATATGCTATTTACACTAAGTGCAAATACCTATTTACACTATGTTAAAATAGCAGGATTTCTACTATCAAGTATACTACTTGTTGCAAATAGTGGCAATTATCTGCACTTCAGTATTGTAGTACATTATAAAACAGTATGCAATAATAACGTAGTGAGTGTAAATTACAATTTTAATTTTAATTATTAAATGGATGCAACCTTATTGGTACAATAAAGCCCTCCCTACACCTACCCTAACCCTACCCGATACTTTATTTAGAATTGTGATTTGTTTTGCACTTCTCGGCCACCGTAGAAAACGGATCTCAACCCGCTTTGTATTTTAATGGAAGGAGACACACACTCACATATTGGTGTTGGCAGTGGACGTTAGCCAATCTGCAGCCAAGCCAACCATGTCTAACCCAGTGGAGAGCTGATTGAAATATCTGGGGTGTGCTGAAGGTAGAGACAACATAGTGCACAAATACAAAATTAATAATTGAACGCAAAAAAAAATACCCATGCCCCATTAATCTATAATCTATTTATGGCTCACTATTAATAGTCAATTGCGGCTTGATGTGAAACACTTCAGGAGGAGCTCAAATGAATCTCAAGACCGGCGCAGACAGCAAGGAAATACAATCAATCTTTCTGATCATTCATAATTATTCCCAAAACGAAAATCACTTTTCGAAATAATGCCATCATAGAAAATAAAATCGTCCCTAGACGCATTCATTTAATATCACGTCATGTTCTGGTCTGATTCGTTTCGCCTTCAGGCACAAACACACACTGATGCTTGTGGGTCTGTGAGCTGAAAATAAATTCTGTTTCACAAGCGAGACAATCAATAGGTTAGCATAATTTATGTAATGTAGCCTAGATTATATAGAGATATAATGAATATGAATAATGCAATACACAATTATATATATATATATATATATATATATGTAAAAATACAGGTAACATCTGTATTCATTGGTTTCTATTAAAGTCAAAAATATAGATTAACATCTCTGAATCAACCTAAATACATTGATTTATACCAACACAATTATTTGTATTGGTTAGATACAATAGAAATAACTATTTTAAGGTAACAATTGCATGTCGCCACTTTTTACGGTGTATATTGCTTATGAAATTACAAATGAAAACGCTTACCCGTTTTTATGGCGTATTTTAGCGTGGCGCGACAGTTGATCAGAATATCATCTAGAGTCTCGGGTTCGTCCGAAAGCTCCCAATTATTCCTTTGGAGCAATTCATTTGGATAGTGAAAATCAATCACTTTCGTTGACCTGTCAAAAGATTCCACTATATAAGCCAGCAATATATCCACAACCTCCTGCAGAAAATTCATAGTCTTCGCGTCCCCATCCAGCGCAGGTAACAGATCTGTAAAGAATAGCACAACTGTATTAACAAGTGATTGCATTTAGTGAAAGAATCAAGTGTAAAATAGCTTAATTTAACCTTGAGAAAGAAACAAAGGACAACATCTCCGAAATGCATTGTTAGTTTACATTTTTATATTATAACAGATTTATCCATTAATTTACCCAGCAATGAACAGGCAGGGTTTAATGTTATTTATTCTTTATTTTAATTGAAAAAATATATTTTTACACACATAAATGTCATTTTAAAAATTGTTTTGGAAATGACATTTAAAAATAAGTATTATAGAGACGACGTGCAAAATCAAGACATAGGTAATAAAAAATATAGGCCTATTACAACGCTTTTTAACGAATAATGCAGTCTGAATAAACATACCACAAAAACTAAAATAACTGGACATACATTTAAGTCGAATAACACCACGTAACATAACCAATATAACCAACCATGAAACCAGCACATCAAATCAATTTGGCCTTTTTTTTCAGTTGTGCTAGCGATGTGATTGTGGTTTACCTGTTGAATAGAGATCAGAGAAACACAGGGTGGCTTTGGAGCTGTTACAGGGTTTATTACAGCCGCAGCTCTCGGCTGTAGACCCATCTTCTGCTTTAACTGGAGCTTGAGCTGTTTTCTCAGCCTCCCCGACATTTAACAGAGCTACAGAAGAAACGATTACTCTATTAATTGAATGATAATAATAATAATAATAAAGAAAATGCATCTCACACACTGTATGAAAGAGTTACTTTTTTTTAACTGCAACTAATTCGTTTCAGGCCTTTCAGAGTCAAGATAAAAAAAAAAAAAGACAACGAAAGAAAAGAAAACAAGCTTTAAATGTTCTTTAATTATACTGATCATATATAACCATATGCATGACAACATGACATGTTCTAATCTCGCGCTGTTTACAACCATAACACCTTTTAGGAAGGTAGGTAAGATACAAATAAAGATTTTAAATTTAGACCACATGTTAAAAATAAACGTACCACATAATTTGGAGCCGATGCCTCCGGGGAATTTCTGGGCCGCCGCCTGACACCATGCTCTGGCTGAAACGATCAAGCGCGTGCGATTTGAACACCATATCCATCATAAAACTTCCATTATGAACACCAAGGCGTGGAACTGGCCTTAAAATACCGAACTAAATGCTGTTGTTCATTATCATACGACACAGCTGACATGAGATTTCAGGGTTTTAAATTAACCTTGACACAACAAATGTCGCATTTCTTTGTCTCACAGCCACTAATACTTAAAACACAATCATGCTGCACATTTGCAAGCTTCTTTTTGAACGCCATGTCACTTACGAGTGTTCGGGCTTTGACTGCAGTTTCCAGACGCGTTTTCAGCACCCAGAAACCAAAACCCGTGAGATGCCATCGCGAACAGAGCGGATCAGAGCAGCGGCAGAGAAACGCGAGCAGCAGCCATCCAGACGCGCGTCAAGGGGGAACGGGAGCTGTCCGCAGCCGTGGTGCTGAATCCTGCTCAACGCGCCGGAAATCCAGTTGCGTGCGCGATGTATTTACAGTCACACCTGTCCAAACGCGTCAGATCAAGTGCTTTAATTGCTATAGTGCTCTTCAAAGATATTCAAAGCCCTCCGATGGAGAACAGTCGAGACAGAGCGTCTATATTCAGGTGATGCGCCGTGCGCAATGATTTGGAGCAGCCGGAGACCGTCGCTGAACTCATGGAGAAACGCTGGCACTGATGGAAACACAGGCATCCAATGGCTCTCATTCTCTTTCACTTATCTCAGCTGCAAATGCAAGTTGAGTGTGCACAGTACATTTTAAAAAGCACTTATTGCAATACGTTGCGCGAGCTCTCCAACATGCAAACTTGCTACTTTAGTGCTAATAAAAGCTTCTTGTGGCGTAAAGATAATCCGCTTCACGTCACCAAAGAAATTCCGACCCGATTCAGGTCATGACGAACTATTTTGCGTAGTTAATCGTGACCACACACACTAGCTTATGCCCCTCCTGGCGCACCACCCGCATCTGTGCTGAAGGCACAACCGTTTTTTTTTTTTAGATTCTGTAATTTGCTTTACTCCAGCAGTGAGCAGACTTCATCAGAAGCAGGAGGAGCAGCCGGTCTCCATGGACCATGACATTCAGATCCGTTTTTATAATCAAACCATTTCTAATTAAAAAGGAAACTGGAGACCCAGTTTCAGACCTGAACGGGAAAATCTATAATGAATAAAAACATTAGTGTGAATTTATTTATTCACAATACCATTCTCAATTGTGTGTGGCGATCGTGCGCAATGGCACGCGTCATTTATTTCGCATGCATTTAATAAAACGAAACCTTAAATAAAGCAAAAAGTAATTATAATTAGATTATAGTAGTATGTAGAAAATAACAGGTTATACAAAATAATAATAAAGCAGAAAATAAGCTTTTTTATGCCCACTTACATTAGATTGGTGAGGAGAAAACGAGAAAAATCACAAAGAAGAGCAGGTCAAGAGAGCTGCATTGGAAAAAGAAGAAAAAAAATATATATATACAGTATATGTGTGTGTGTGCTGCTCAACGGCAATCCATGTGGACGCTATAAAATCAGCATCACACTAAAATACAAACAAACATAAATGGATTTATTCTATCAGTTATGAAATTAAATTCGTAATTTATGTTTGGAACCTGCGTTTAATATAATCTACATCCCTTAACCATATTTTCATTTCATCAGTGTTACCTAAACATTACTATTTTATCCAGAATATTTTAATATCATATAATGCATTTTACATTATCATATAATGTTACTATGTTGTTAATAATATTACATTTTCATATAATGTATTAAGGACACATAAACGGAATGCGCTGAGAAGGGCGTAAGAAAAAAAAACTGAATAATGAATAATATAATTATTATATTTTATAGTAACTTTAGTCTGCTCTGGGTTTAACATCAGCCATTATGTACATTTTAAGCATTTTATAATTTAATTAGACTAATTACAGAAATAATGAAGTATTTAGAAAATCATATTCACAAATAAGTGACATTTCAAGAATACACATATCCATACGTATTAAACAAACAAGTATTTGTTTAGATCTTAATATAATCTACATCCCTTAACCATATTTTCATTTCATCAGTGTTGCCTAAACATTACTATTTTATCCAGAATATTTTAATATCATATAATGCATTTTACATTATCATATAATGTTACTATGTTGTTAATAATATTACATTTTCATATAATGTATTAAGGACACATAAACGGAATGCGCTGAGAAGGGCGTAAGAAAAAAAAACTGAATAATGAATAATATAATTATTATATTTTATAGTAACTTTAGTCTGCTCTGGGTTTAACATCAGCCATTATGTACATTTTAAGCATTTTATAATTTAATTAGACTAATTACAGAAATAATGAAGTATTTAGAAAATCATATTCACAAATAAGTGACATTTCAAGAATACACATATCCATACGTATTAAACAAACAAGTATTTGTTTAGATACAGTTTAGATACAAGTGCAGATACAAGTGGGACATTTTTATAATGCACATGTTATTGTTTATGCAGAAACAATTCAAATATAACCTAATTGGTCCAAATATAAAGGTCAATATATGAATGTCTTTAAATACAAATCTTTATTCACAGAGAGACTTGCACATAATGCATCAACGCCCAGCAAACATCAACTGCTAAACCTGAGTTAAAAATCAAACAAGGGCAGCACAAAAGTCCTGTCACCATCAGCTCTTTGGCTCCATCCATAAAAACATAATTTCTATCAATTTAAGTCTCTGATTAGTCAATTAACATTACATTCTGTACAGCAAAAAGCATTAAGTAGTCATTATTTACATAACTACTTAAACTAAAGTCAGCGCTTTCTGAAATAATGCAGAGGTTCTTTGGGAAGCCAAACCAAAATGGATTGAAAACATGATGCATTACTTAAAGAAACAGCTCACCCCCCGACTCAAGAGAATGATTCTTTGATGAATCAAACATCACTTTGTGCTCTTCTTGAAGATTAAAAGCCTCAGGTTATTGTAACTCCATGGAAAAGAGCGGGTGGTACATTATTCAAAAATTCTCCTTTTGTGTTTCACACAAGAAAGAAATTCATATGGGTTTGGAAAGACATAACGGTGAGTAAATGATGACAGAAATGACATTTTTTGGTGAACTCATTTTTCACAGTATTTACAGAAGTTGTAAAGCTTGATGATTAGGGCTGTGTTAAAAGCCTTCGTCTCTGGGAGGTCTTCCTCAGTATCTTTCTGTAGTCATAAGGGTTGTCCTCACTTTGACTCTCTGTAGAGGGCATTCTAGAGAACGAGTGCCTGTGGACAGAGAGGGGCAGATAAAGCGAGACTTCACATGGAAATGAAGATGCAAGTGAGAAAGGGAAAGAAAGCAGGGAGGTTTTTACGTCTTGATATCTGCATCTTCTCCTCAAATACATTTATCATGTCTGCCCTGCTGTGTACTGCACTGAGGTCAACGGTTTGAAGATGGTATTTGTTAAACTCACAGAATGATGCAAATGTGTAATGTCTTTCACCTCTTCTCCGTTGGGCTCTTAGGGAGGTCGGATTTAGGGACATCAGACAGTGGTCTTTCAGAAGAGCGTGTTCTTTCAGTGGATGATCTCCGTTTGCTTGAGCGGCGTCTGTCACTGGGCAGGCTTGTGGACTTAGTGCTGGACGAGCCCTGGTAGTACTGGTCATCATTGTCCAGCCTTTTGGGGCTGGTGGGTGCAGAGGAAAAGATGAATTTGTAACTATAAACTTCTTGTGAGGATCAGATCAAAACCTAAGCCTGTTCCTTCAGAAGACTCGGAATAGTCATGGACTACTTTTATTTTTGTCATTTTTGGAGACTGACAGCACATTCCCATCTACTTTGAAATGACATTAGGTTTAGAGAATGGCGACAGAACTATTCCTGTTTACAATGCTGTATTTGTAATTCCTTGTTACATAAATCCCCCTCCTCGCCTTTAGCCAAAGCGTATCGCTCCCGATCATAAATAACATCTATTTTGTCATAACAGGCTGCTATTAATGGGTGGCCATTATGCCGTATTGACTGCATTTCATGGCTGTTCTGCAGTATGTAAGCGACGGTCTTCAGGACAGGCTCTGATTTATGACTGGCTTTTCGGCAGTGACTCAAATGTAAATGTTCTTTCAGTGGACTTTAACTCACTGTCTCAGGGCTTATCAGAAGCATTATGTAATGAAAACAGCCATCTATGAAACCAGCGAAGATAAGAGCCTACGGCCTGCCAGCAAGACCGCTGATGCAATTATATCAGTCAGCCCCACTGGCCTACTGATGCACTTCCAAACAAACAGAAAATAAATAAACACAATTATTATTTTAATTCTATTTTTATTACACTATTGTTATTTAATAACATTGTATTTTTATAATAATATTGTAATTAAAATAATAAAGTATTAAAATAAAATATATTAATATGAAATATTATAATAATAACAAAATATAAGCTTTTTTTCTAAATTGTAGTAATATTTGTTGTTCTGAATTTATGCTGAATTATTATTATTAATATATATTTTTTTAAATAAAGGACCATATCTGAATATGGAGAATTTGTGTAGAAAATGTCATCAAATGAATGTCAAAATGCCAAAAATAAAACATTAATATTAAAATATTAATATAATATGTTTGTATTACTATAAAAGGGTATTAAACATAATAATAATAATAATAATAATAATAATAATTTAATACTTTATGATATGTAAAATAATAAAGTATTTCAGTGTTTGGAATACACACACACACACACACACACACACACACACACACACACACATATATATGACCACATCTGTGTAAGGATCATTTGTGTGGGAAACGTCATAAGTTTAATGTCAAAAAACCCAAAAATAATGTATTTATAGAAAATATATTAATGTAAAAATGATATAAAAATACTTCTATATATTTATAAAAAAATGTAATAATCTAATTCTTATTATTAAGATGAAGAATTTGTATGAAAAACTTGAAATTAATGCCAAAATGGAACAATCCTTATTTTCTCCAAGCAGAATGCAAGTTATTTTTGTTTTCTTTAGATTTTGAGGTAAAATGTGACTTGGGCATGGTTTTGAGGGATTCATTCATGTGGCAAAACAGAGTGTTTTGCTTCATCTGTTTGCTCTGTCTCTCTAGTTCTGCACATTTGTACTGCAGTACACCTTCATTAACTGCATGTCCTCAGCTCGCCCTTTTTTCTCCCAAGATACCTTATTGGTCCCTTATCTCTCGCTCTGCTTTCTCTCTTTCCACAGCCAATCTCTTCCTCTATTTCTCTCTGACAGAACATGGGCCAGTTATCAGACAGAGCTAGAGATTTGTCTGTCCTACTGACTTTCCCACTCTTAAAGTCAACATGAAACACTCAAGCCTCATTTGACATATAGTATTTACAAGTGAAACAGGATATTCGGTGATAAAAAATTTTGTGTTCTGAACTATTATTCGCTACAAGACCAGAAGCATATATATTATGAAAGTTGATTTCATGAATACTGAAATGATGTATGCTGCTGCCCATCTCTGACTTGCAAAAACTGCTGGTCCTTAATGATGCGTGTCTCTATGAGTGTTGTTCAGCACCCTGTCTGTCTGTCAGAGCTGTTTGTCACTCAGCTGGCCTGTCAAATCTCCTGGAGGTCCATGTTCACACACACAATATTTCACACATGCTGTGACACTGTGGATATGTCCCGCTGGCTGACAGCCAAATACTACAGGAACTAGCCGTAATATGCAAGCAAGCAAGCATCAGCATTACAAATGACAATTAATATGGTTTGATTAATCTCAACATTTTTTGTAATTCAGTTTTTATTGATTTTATGCCAAATACTTCATGCTTTACCTACATTACATCTGACATGAGAAAAATATAACTGCATTATGTGTTAGTTATACAGACTATATTACAGAGCGTATTTTAACAGCAATTAAAGGGGTCATATGATGCGATTCCAATTTTTCCTTTCTCTTTGGAGTGTTACAAGCTCTTGGTGCATAAAGAAGATCTGTAAAGTTGCAAAGACTAAAGTCTCAAATACAAAGAGATATTCTTTATAAAAGTTAAGAGTCAACCACGCCTACCTAAAACAGCTCGTTCTAACACAACCCCACATGTCTACGTCACTGTGTGGGAAGATTTGCATAACACCGCCCAAATGTTCACGCAAAGAAAGAAGGCGTAACTTTTATTCTCGCTGTAGTATTGTTGTTGCCGCCGCCGCCATGTTGTGAATGCGCTGTGTTTCGTTGTGAAAGCGAAACTACTTTGTTTGGCCTTCCAAAAGAGGACGATATCTGCTTCGTCATGCCTGGAGCTGATCCGTGCTGGTCGCTGAGGAAATACATCCACTTCGCGCTGTGAATCGCCGGATCGGCTTTCACCGCGGACGAATTAGAGTCCAGCCTGAGGTCGTCACATGTGGTTGCCGCAAGCCCGCCGGACACTCCTTCGTCAAATCTGCCGGCCGCGCCGTTCTCAAGCCCGCCCGCCGATGCTCACTCAAGCAGGCCTCCGCTCACTCTAGGCCGCCGGCCTCAGCTCACTCAAGGCCGTGGTGTGTGACGCTGTTTCGTTGTGAAAGCGAAACTACTTTGTATGGCCTTCCAAAAGAGGACACAACTAGAAATCAGTGGTTAAGTTGTACTTTCAACACTGTTCTGGAACAGTTCAACCCAAATATTCAGATGTGTGCAGCGCATTTTATGGAGCCGTAAATATGTCCCCACTGGATGCAACAAATGCCTCGTTCATAATGGATTTTAATGTTTTTGTCTCGTCGCTCCGTCCGGACAGGGCATCACAGTATGGTAAGGGGCGTAACATTTCCGTCACATGCTTGAGGTATTCGGCCAATCACAACGCACTGGATTGCTGGCCAATCAGAGCACACCTCGCTTTTCAGACAGATGAGCTTTGTAAAAATCGACGCGTTTCAGAAAGGCGGGGCATAGAGGAGAGACAATAATGTACAGTATGTGGAAAATAATGTTTTTTTTTACCTTAAGCCGCATAAACACATTTCATTACACCAAATACATAAAATAATGTTATTTTTAGCAGCATCATATGACCCCTTTAAGATTTTAACCTATTAAAAGGTGGACTGGAGACAACACTGATACAATTTTTTAATTCATGTGTGTTAGGATTTAGCTTTATATCCAATGTTGGCAGATTTGTATGGGCTATGTTAGGAGCAGAATAGTGTAATACCACCTGTATTATTTTTAAGGTTTTTGTACTGTGCAAATGTTCATACCCATGAAGACATATTACATTTCTAATTTGTACACAACATAGAATATCTTATCTCACTATGCATAGCTTGATAACTATGCAATACCTGTGTTTGATTTGATTGTTAACATCTCTCTTTTGCCTCTTTATCAGTTCAGACCCCCCAAAATAAAGACAATGGATTACTGGATTATACAAAAATAAAATGTGAAATGCAAAGTTTACACTATATCATTCAAACTTATGGGGTCAGATTTCTTATTTTATTTATTTTTTTAAGAAATTAAAACTTCTTTAGCAAGTATGCATTAAACTGATCAAAAATGAGAGTGAATACTATTACATTGTTACAAAAAATATATTTAAAAAAATACTGTTCTTTTGAAATTTCTAATCATCAAAATGTCCTGAAATATTGCATCACGGTTTCCACAAAAAATATTAAGCAGAACAATTACTATATTAAGAAATGCTTCTTAAGCACCAAATCAGCATATGTGACCCTGGACCAGAAAGGACCACACAGTCTTAAGAGATTTATACATCATCTGAAAGCTGAATAAATACGCTTTCCATTGATGTATGGTTCGTTAGGATATAACAATATTTGGCCGAGATACAACTATTTGAATATCTGGAATCTGAGGGTGCAAAAAAATCTAAATATTGAGAAAATTGCATTTAAAATTGTCCAAATAAAGTCCTTAGCAATGCATATTACTAATCAAAAATTAAGTTTTGATATATTTAAGGTAGGAAATTTACAAAATATCTTCATGGAACATGATCTTTACTTAAAACCAGTTAAACTCTGAGGAAACTCTGCCAAACTGCGGAAACTCTGCCAAAATCGCGTTAAAAATGTTTATGCTTCATTTACATAGCCTTCAGACAACAACAATAATAACTAAGTACAAAATAAAAAAAAAAAATATATATATTTTTTTTTATTTTGTACTTAGTTATTATTGTATCTAGTATATATACTAGAAGCTGGGTGTGCTCCTCAAGAGGACTATGGTATTGTAAATTTATTAAAGTCTTATATATTTTATATTTGCAGTTTTTCAAAGTACAACTGTTTACATGTAGTAGAAAGGTAAGCAAAAGAAATGTAATAACTTAAAGGGGTCATATGATGCTTTTTTAAAGATCATTATTTTGTGTATTTGGTGTAACAGAATATGTTGAGTGTAGGGTAAACATTTGAATTTGAGTATGTCAAATTTAGGCGAAAATAGCAAAAAATGCCCTGAGCTTAAGTGGTTTTAATATCCTGATGATTTTTGGCATAAAAGAAAAATTCATAATTTTGACCCATACAATGTATTTTTGGCTATTGCTACAAATATACCCCAGCGACTTAAGACTGGTTTTGTGGTCCAGGGTCACATATTAGAATAATCATGTGACACTGAAGACTGGAGTAATGATGCTGAAAATTAAGCTTTGCCATCACAAGAATAATGTACTTTTTAAAATATATTACAACAGAAAACAGTTATTTTAAGTTGTAATAATAATTTGGAATATTACTTTTTTAATCAAATACATGCAGCCTTGGTGAGCATACGAAAGTGTAAGGTTGAACGGTTGCATTTTTGAGGCAATACATAACCTGTGAAATAAATAGGGTACGATTTCATAGCAAACCACATACTGTTTTCAAATACTAGTGTGTCATATGCAATACGTGGTACACTAGTATTCCATTCCAAACACAGCTTTAGTCATTCTGTCTGCAAAGCTGCTACAGGAGAGGGAACATTTTTGTTTAGTATAATATGTCTTCTAATTGATTTACCTTTGTTTTCTTGGCCTCCTTTTATCGTCCTGGACAGACCTCTGGAAAAGACCCAGCATGAAAAAGATAATTAAAGCTGAAGCCCAGAAAATCCTTAGATAAAGTGAGTGTCATTGTGTGATGCTGACTCACGTGGATGAGTGTGTAGTATGTGGAGTCCTCTGGTGTGTTCAGGGTCTTTGGCTGTTGTGTGCGGCGAGACGTTCGTGGCTGCTTTGTGTCGGCTGTGGATCAGAAAAATAAAAGGTGAAAAACAACAGGAAAAACCAATCAACATATAAACAGTGCATCGTGATATTTGACCATGAATTCAATACACATTCAATACATTTCACAATGCAAAGAGAATATAACAAATAGATCCCTGGTGGGGAGCCCCGTTGCTACACAGGATCAGCTACACAACATCCAGCTGACCTTTGACCCCTTTGTTCTTATCGAACAAACCCTACGGCATGGTTTAACCCTTGGGCCTCGCCATTTGAAATTATCCACTAACAATCAATCAGAAATGCCCTACTAGTCAAAGCATGTTCCTATACTGACACAGACATGAAAAAGTATGAGAATGAAGCTCTGTTCTAAACCCTAGCAGGGGCGCCGATATGGTTTCTGGGCCCCCTGAACAGCATATCCCTCAGTAAAAATTGTGTTCCGGGCCCCTTCTCCCTCGTCGGGCCCATGGAATTGTCTTATTACTAAAGTCTCATTACTAAAGGAAATACATTTATAATTATTCTCATTTATCTTCCTTCGTCCACCATCAACTCAAAAAATATTCAGATCAAATTTTTGTAATATGATATGTATTTGAATTGCATATAAAATTTCCATCCATTTGGATTACAGTTTTAAAATAAACAAACTAATAAACTTAATGAGACTAATTTTTGTCAGTCATATAAAAACAGGTAACATTTCTGTACTTAAAAAAAAACAATGTTTTATTATTAACTATTTGCATATATTTGATTTTCATTAAATCATAATTCATAAATAATATTTTCAGAATGCATTCAATCAAATTACTTAAAATCAGCACAAATATTTCCATTGTGAGAACAATTCAATTTATTCAGTTAATACTTATTAACTGAATACATTTAATTGTTTTCACAATGGAAATGATGTTGGAGATGAGGTTAAAATATGGATAAGTGAATACATAAAATACATAAATCTTAAATTTAGGCCTAAATATTTTTATATGCACCTATGATGTCTAAAAATAATTGGTGGCACCATTTAATCCTGTTCCACGTGCACATACTATAGACTTATTATAGTAATTACAATAACTGGGTAATATTAAGTAGGTACTAACCCCTAAGCTACCACTAAAACTAAACTTAACCCATGTAGTTACCTTATGTTACCAGTACTTTCTTAGTAAGTCAACTTTAAATACAAGTATTTATTTTTTAAGTGCAACCTCAAAAAAGTGTAATGCTCAAAAAAAGAGTGTTACCTGGAATGCCTTTGATACAGAATACTTCTTTGTCAAATATGATTTTTTTAGTGATCAACACCAAAAGGTACAAAAATGACCTTTGGTTTATTTTAATAATATCTGATAACTCAAGCACTGTTTATCATGTAGAAAGGTCCAGTGTAAAAAAATGAATCACTGTCCACCAGGACCAGAGGGTACGGCTGGAGAGTTGATCATATTTATTGAATGTGTCTCTTGAAAGGTCATCAGCAATTCTTGATTGCTCAGAGGTAAAAAGCCAATTTGCAGCTCTTATATTAATGTTTGCTGTAATTGCTGGGGCACTTTTGCATGCAATGCGATTAGCATTTAAAGACCTTTCATGTACATAGAAATGTGACTGGCATTCAAAGGCCACTTCTTATTGTATTTGGAAACAATAATAATTGCACAATAATAATTGTTTCCACACAGAAAGACTCTGGTTAAGATTATTTATTATGACTTTGGAGCTTCCAAAGACATTTTACAATGACAATAAATCATTAATAAACATGTGACAGATGACAGCAAATGTAATCCCTTTAGCAAGATTTTGTAGAAGTTCAGCTTTCACAGATGAGATTAAGATATGTGACAGAAGAAAACAGATCAGGAGGTCATATCTGTCAACACGGAAACCATAATCACTGCTGACAGAATAATCTGGTTTCATTTAGACACAAGGTGCATATCAGGAATAATAGAATCTGCGAGAATTACCCTCCCAAAAGTAATTAGACATATCGCAATAAAAATCAAATGAACAGCAGATCTGCTCAGCTGGGGGAATTTTTATGATGACACATCTTGTTGAGCCCAATTTGCATGTTGTGGCACTAGACATCCAATTTTTGATAAGATCAGTACTGTCAAATTGACAGCAAAAAAGTACACTGCAGGAGTTTAATTAAGGTAGAGTTTTCTTGCTACAAGCTATTTTAATCTTAAAAACAGCTATATTAATCCAACTTTGAAAATAACCAAAGCTACCCTTTAGCATACAGCAAAAAAAATAAAAATAATAAAATTGACTATAATACTAAATAACTCATTAGAGTTAAAATTATAATTCAAGTACTTCACATATGCTTAGTCAGAACATCAAAATTTTGCTTCTTAAAAGCATGACAAAAGATTATTAAATCAATGATTTAAAATGTACTTTAAAGTAAAACTTTTAATTTGACATTTCAAAGTGCACTTTTTAAAAGCATACTGAAGTGTCAACAAACATGGGGGGAGAACGATTGAAATGACAAAGACTTCAGACATGAATGGACATAATTCATAAAGGACATTTACCTGGTGGCTGGTAACAGCCCATGTAGCCATTCATAGGTTGTCCTTTCACAAACATTCCATTTTTGCTGGGGTTGAGCTGATGGGCAAGGATGATTTCATTTAACTTCTTCTGCAGTGATAAGTAATCTTCAGAGGCATTGGTTACCTGAGCAGGTTATAAAAAATGTCATCAACTGAATTTTGTGTAAAAACCTTAAAATTCATGAGGCAAAGAATGCATATCGTAAAGGGGTCCTATTATGCTCTTTTACAAAGTCTTGTTTTTGTTTTGGGGGTGTATTAGAACAGGCTCTCATACTAGGTTGTTCGAAAAACACATTATTTTTCACATATTTTACATTATTACAACACCTCACTCCCCAGTCTGGCATGAACGGCTCAAATAGTTCCTGTATCAAATGAAGGCCTGCCTTCTGAAATACGAAATGTACTGTGATTGGTTAGCTGGGCCAGTGTGTGTTGTGATTGGCACCACTCGGCGCCTGGTCGGAAAATGTCATGCCCCTTACCATAGCTGCCTGCGAGCTTCAGTGTAAATATCAAAATCAAATCAATTTGAGTGCGATGATTGTAACCACTCTAAGTTCGTCTGCCTTTGGAAAGCTAGCGTGTTTCCTTCTTAGTGATAACACTCGCTGTCTTCTCTAATGCAGCTCAACCAGGTCTCGTCCCATTCGTCGGTATTTGTGATATCACAATCCTGGAAAATATGCGTTGTAGTCCAAACGAGTCATTCGTTGTAGTTTTAGAAAAGTGATTTCTGTTAAATAAAATATCTCCTTTTGAATTGGACTTTGAGCTTTGTAACTTCACAGATCTTTTTTATGCTCAAACAGCAACACTACAGACTAACTTGAAAAAAGTGACTAAGTTGAAAAAGTGAAAAAGCATAATAGGACTCCTTTAAATCAAGTCTCATGCTATGATGCTACTCTTTGACAGATTAGTCCATTGAAAAATAAAAGGTCATCATTTACACTCCTTCATATCTATCCATAGACATTATTTTATTTACCAAACACAAAAGGGCAGAATTTGGCAGAATGTTCATGCTGCTCTGTTCCATACAGTACGAAGAAAATTACAAAAAAAAAAAAAGCATCACAAAAGTAGCCAACCAATACAACTCTTTTTAATTTTTGGAGAATCTAAATTTCACCTTTTATGTTCCACAGAAGAAATACAGGTTTGGATTGATAATCCGGGTGATTAAATGATGACAGATTTGTCATTTGTGGGTAAACCTACACAAAAAAAAAAAAAAAAGGAATCACCTGTTTGAAGAGCGACTCTACTTCCTCATCCTGTTTTTGTGATTTTTCTTTCAGGTTCTTTCTGTCTTTGTAACCTCTAAAATTGCTCTGCATTTTAATGGCTGCCTGCTCCTCATCATATTGGGCTTCCTCAGCCTGAGAATCCTCCTCTTCTTCTACCCCCTTCCGTTCCAGCTGAACATCTGTGATGTCCAGAGCTTCCTCATTCTCCTGCTCCTCCGCCTCTTGTGCCATTTCTTGTTCTTTTCCAATGGCTCCTTCTCTCTCTGCTCTCAATCGCTTTCTCTCCTGGTGTCCTCTGAAATTGCTCTGTAAAACAGTTGCAGCATGTTCTTCACCTGTCCCTGGAGACTGACTGTCTTGCTCGAATTCTAATGGAGGTAGTGGAAGTTCCTTAAGAGAAATGTCTAGTTCTGAAGCGTCTGGATTAGCCATTTCTTCATTTGTCTTTTTTTTGGAGATTTTGCCTTCCTCCTGGAGTCTTCTGCGCTCTTTGTGGCCACGGAAGTTGCTCTGAAGAACCGCAGCGGCTTTGGCTTCTTCATCTTCTCCTGGTGGTTGAGCTGGAGTCTCATCTTCCTGTTCCATTTCCTCAGTGAATTCCATCAGTTCTTCTGGAGGTGGTGGATCTGGAATAGGAAGCTCCTCATCAACTGGAGGACTCTTTGTCTCCTTCCCTCTAACCGGCATCTTCCCCTCCTCTTGGAGTCTTTTACGTTCTTTATGACCTCTGAAGTTGCTCTGGATAACAGTGGCTGCCTTAGTTTCCTGTTCATTGTTCTCATCTCCTCCACTCGCCACCTCTTCCTCAGCCTCCTTCCCTTCTTCCTCTATATTCTCCTGTACTTCCTCTTGTATAACATCCAAATTTTCTCCAGAAGTGGCTCCTTCAGGGGTGGATGAGGAAACGGCCAGCTCTTCCCCGGTCAAGGTCTTATTCCGTTCCCAACGCTCCTTGTATTTCTTCCTTTCTCTGTAACCTCGGTAGTTGCTCTGGAGGACCACAGCGGCCTTTTCATCAGCATCATCCATTACCACTTCACCTCCTTCCTGTGGAGGTTCCTCTGAAACTCGACCTTCTGATTCTGATGGGGCCTCCACCACTTCTTCCGTCTTCTCAGCTTTTTCCTTCTGCATGGCTTCCCTGTGTAAAATTATTCAGTTTATACCACCATAGCACTGTTGACTTCTTGATTCTATGTGTACCTTGCTCTGACAGGTCAATTGCAGCATTAAGCACTCTAAGATTTCAGTATATTCATCCATCCACCTTCCAAACCACTTGTCAAATATACGGTTGCTGGGATGCTGGAGCCCATCCCAGGGAAACACCCTGGTTGGGTGGCTAGTCCACTACATGCAGACGGATACACCTTCACACCTATGGAAAATGTAATTTCTCCAATTCACCTATCCCGCATGCATTGCATGGATTGTTGGGGAAACCAGAGCACCCCAGGATGCGGGGCAGAATGCGCAAGCTACACTAACACATGACCTTCATGACCCTTCAAGGTTGTTCAATATCCCAGTGTTACTGGTGTCTCTCGTATCACTTTACACCTTCTCCCTTTTCATACCAACACAAGTTGGAATAGCTGTTGTAACTAATCTTGCGAATTTGGAAAAAATGGTCTTGCAGGACTTTAGTATTAATGTTATGGTCAGCATATACTTTTGTTAGATAGCTAGATTTAAACCAAGAAAATGAAGACAAAGCTTGGAAGAACAAGGAACCAGTAGGACAAAGAGCTTGATGACAGATCATTTAAAATGGCCTCTAATTGATGGACCTTTGATTGAAAATTATGGATTTTATTTCTAAGCTAATCTACAAGTAAGAAGATAAAATCATCTAGAAGAAGAACAGGACTTACTTTTTCCTCTTGAAGCTTTTCCTCTCTTTGTGTCCCCTGTAATGGGCCTGGATCTTTGCAGCAGCTTTGATCTTCTCATCTAGTAACTCTTTGTATTTCTGCCTTGCCAGATATCCTCTGCACACTGTATGAAGAGGCCATGATTTAGTATAAGTCTTTGCCTTCTAAACTCACTTAATACAGTATCCTTAATACTTAATGATTTTTTTTGTCTTACCTGCTTGGAATTGCATCATAACAGCTTCTAACTTTGCTTTGCTTTTGTCATCAGTCACTCTTTTCCTAACTTTGTGTCCTCTGTATGCTAGAAGAACGAATATTTTAGAGCTGGTTCAGCAGAGTATTCAGCATTTTGACATCTAGTCAACAACATGAGCTTACCTGACTGCAACACCACAGCACTTTGTTTTCTCTTTTCCAGCATCAAACGGTATCGTCTGAATGCCAGCCAGCCTCGTACATATGCTTGGACTAGAACAATCCGGTCTGTGGTCTGCCTCACCATCAGATTCAGCTGCTCCGCGTGATAGTACTTAAGAAAGACCTGAACACATAACCATCAGACTTATGAAGTTTGCTGAACAACACCAGCGGTTATTAATGCCTTTCATTCACAAACCTTTGTTTTGCCCAGAACCCAGTTCTCTAGTTTGACCTTCTCCAAAATAACAGCACATGTCTCTGGATTTATTGGTGGCTCCTCATTGGCTCTAAATGCTAATATAGAGTACCTGAAATAGACCAATGGTTAGTAAAAGGCAACACTAAACATAACAACTGAGAAATTATAGACTAAGGAGGCAATCTCTTTTCCACCAGCAATGTGCGAGTGCCGGTATCGGAAGTGGTGGTCAATTCTATGCATTTCCACAGACAAAAATGTGGTTCTTGCCAGTTTTTGATGGCTGTTACTTTGGATGCTAATATACATTTTCAAAACTAAGACCTAAGACCAAAGACCATTTCTCAAATCATTTGAAAAACAGGCCAGTTATGAGACAGGTCCCTTGGCAGAGTATTGGCTCCAGCACTAACATAAACACCATTTAGGTGGAAAAGGGGTTCATGCACATGGATTTACAGTAATACGTAGTATCTGTCCAACCTCTCAATGAAGTTATTGAAGAGAATGCGATGAGAGTAGCCCTGTCTGCGTATCTTAGCTGTCTCTAGAATGCCAGTGTAGCGTAGTTGAATCAGAACCTTCTCCCTGTCGAACTTGTGGGCTTGACGATCATTGTTGGGTTTTATGCAACGCACAAATTGAGGCTGGCCTGCCACCATCTTTGATAACAGATCCATTAGAGAATACTGCAAAGTATAGTTGAAAATAAAGCAAGACTGTGAACACAAATCTGATGGTTTTTATTGGTTCTTTTCATTATTATGTCTTCAAAAGTCTTACTCTGAAGTAAGAGGCTACAGTTTGAGTCTTCATGTTGGTGGTCTCTCTGGGGTGATGTGTGGTGTCTCCCGTGCTCTCCGCCTTTGCAAACACAAAATATTCAGCATGCTGAAAACTTGTGGTCATGAAAATGTACAGAAGGGATATTGGGGTCTTTTTAATAAACATAGAATTATCTGTTTATTATAAATTTATGCATGTTGCCTCTTGGAGAAATGTTTTACAACAAAGCCAAAGGTCAGGGTAAACACACAATCACCGTTTGTACAGTGTCAATGGGCAAGGCAAGCATTGTTTTGTCATGGGTGGGAGTTAATTTCCGGGAGGAAGACTGAAAAAGAAATGCATAAAGATTGTGATAAGACAGTCTGATTTGAATCCATAAAACTATTTATTTTTAATTTGTAAAGGAATAATATAGATTAAATTAACAGCAGAATTCATTAGCAAAGCAATCTAACAAGCATTAATTTATGCGGCACTTTTGCCAATCATCAATAGGGCCAAATTCCTTCTTTAAAACAGCCATGAATATTTCACCAGGTTATACTATAAAGGTGTTTCAACATTGAACATAAAGCAGAATCACACTGACACAGGTGCTTTTATTTTACGTGGGCTAAAATGAATGGAATCTTTCATGTGACATTTTCTAAAGACAGCATGCTTAAATATGCAAACGAATGATAATGTATGCAGGTCTTCATTAAAGACATCAGTTCAATATGTTGAAAACCCTCACTCATTTCAGAGTACAAACTGAATGTGAGCTCTAAGTAGCTCATGTGTTCTCTTAATAATTCCATTAGGAATAATAAACTTAATGCAAAGAAAAAAAAAAAAAAACTTGGAACACAAATAGATAGTTTTTAAAATGCAACTGCACATAAACACATGAAGGCAATTCTCCTTAATTCCACAGAGACACTCAATTCTAATGTGTATTATATGAACTAATCAAGCTGTAAATCAGTCAGTCTACACAAGCATTAGCCATTAGACAGCTGGTAGGGTCACATGAGAAGATAGTCTTTCATTCACACAGACATGGGTCATTTTCAGGAAATGGTGCCAAGCGTATCACTCCATGATTACAGATGCAATTAACAGACCTTTGTTGCATTAGCTTATTTGATAGATCTAACTGACTGAACAAAACTACATTTTACTAGATAATTGTTTGATTTTCATAAAATAAGTCATTAAAATATGTTTCAAAATATGCGCATTTAGGTATGCTGACATAAGCCCTTTTAATTTCTTTTTGACCAAACTGTGAACTTGTCTTTCAGTCTTTATCAGTATTTCATTGTTTATTGACCTCATCAAACACAACATTTCAAAATCTTTTCAGTATCTTTTACAAAATCACCCATAATAGTTCCATTTCTTCTCATTTTTGTTATCAGTAATGTACATGAGGTGTTTTGTGTTACACTTTCGGTTATTTAGTTGCTGTTTATTGCATTACTTTAGTGTCATGTGTGTTGCCCTGATGGTGCTTGCTTTGTCTTTGTGCACAGGTAGAAATATCTCTTTAAAGTAACCGTAACAAGTTACAACTTTTTGCAGCTTGTGCATTAGGGATGTGCATCTCATGACTGAGGCCGATACGATACGATACATTAAAAATACATATGAAGCAGTTACCGATGCGATACGATTCACCCCTATTACGATGCAGTGCGATCCGATTTAGATTCGATTCGATTCAACACAATGCGATTCGAGACAATACGATGCAATGGAAAAAATATGATCACTTTTAATGCCTCAAGGCCTGTTTCATGAAATAAGTTTACCAAATAAGCCAGGCTTATTTCAGTTAGTCTGACTCATTGTCAAATGATTTGGTTCCATAAAGCAAATTTAACATAGATCAACTTTAGTCACTGTGGCAACGTACGCTGGGAAACTAACCTGGTCTAAAGCAGGTTAACTGTCAGACTAAGCTGAGTTCCTCTAACACTGACCAATAGGAACACTATTATTTGACTTTTTTTTACAGTTTCTAGCCAAGCAGAAAGACTCTCTCTGGTTTTATGACAGCTGTACCGTTGCAGAACAGATAGCAGAACATTAGAACATTACAATCTAAAATTGCTCTTTTTTTAGCAAAATGTATATTTTACTCAGAATTATTGCGCTCCTATTCGTCTTTTTAGCACGCATGCGCGCAGCTGCGCTCGTTCACTCGCGTAAGCCTTGCCCACTCCGGACAGCAAAATGGATATATTTGCATGACTTTCTAACATTTACAGATGAAAAATATACTTGTGACATCTCAGTTATGCAGTGAGGAAAACACAACGTCTCAAACGCATTAAACAGCACAGATATATTCGCTGTTTGTCATGGTGCATCGATTTGATTCATGATCGACATTAAGAGCTGCTTAAGAATAAGCGTGCGCAAATTAGCGAGATTGTGTGAACTTAATTTGTCGTTTATGGAACCGCTTTAGCCCCGGTTGATTTGTTAGGTTATTTCAAGTCAGGTTTTGGACTTTAATCCAAGTTTTTTCTCGGGTTTCCGTGGTGTTGTGATGCGTCATATTCACGCAGCAGTGGTGATGAGAGAACGTCTCAGGTTACTTATGTAACCATGGTTCCTTGAATAGGGAACGAGACACTGCGTCCTCTAGGGGTCGCTATGGGGGAACGCCTCGTCGTGACCCGTGTCTGAAGCATACATTGAAAAAACACCAACAACACGTTGACCGGCGACAGCCATGACGTCACTACCGGTGCGACTATAGTATAAATAGGCGCCGGGAGAACACATCAAGCCTTTAGACTGGACCATCAGTAAGGTGGTCACTATGAAGCCATAGAACCAACCAAACATCATAGGTCCAGCATAGGAGACTGTAATGCAGGAAATTCCTACCTAACCTCGGTCAGGTGGAGTGCTGGTGGTTATAGGGGAATTAGGAAGTGGAAGAAAAGGGCAGATGTAAACTCCCGAAGGAAATGAGTAGATACTCAAGTATCACTCTGATCTGGACGAAAGCGCTGACGCCTTGTCTGGATCACATCCCTAAGGTCTTGCCTACCTCCCTTTGACCCGTGATTCCTACTACCCCTACCTGCAGGCGGAGGAGGAGCGCGAGCCGCGACACTAGCCTTCTGTGCCCGTCTCTGATCCTCAGACCGAGACGGACCAGGACCCCTATGTCGCCTAAAAAGGAGGTACCAAAAAATACGTAAGGCGAAACCGGCGCATTGAGAAGAAAGCCCCGAAATGTCAAGGAGGGAGTCTTAAGAGAGGACGTCTCACCCATAGAGAGATAGCTGGCCAGCGTCTCTCTATAGGGGCATCTTCTCATAACAACTTTCGAGCATCGTCTCGATGTTGGCATAACTCGTATGCTGGAATCGATGTATGCGTGAGGAAAAATGGCCTCTTCCATTCCTTCTCGATCTCTGTATGGAAACAGGAAGAAAGGAAGGCTCACCTGAGCTGGAGGGTTATGGCCAGAAAAATAACGTTGCCTCGCCGTGGCACGATCCATAACTTCCAACAGCTCATCATACGCAGGGCAGGAGGATTGGGAAGGCTCAGCCTCAGCCTCTTCGCCGTCCTCAGACATCTCCTGCTCCTCCTGGGCTGAACCCAGCAGAGCACTGGCCCCCGGATCAGACGATGTTAGAGAAATAACATCATCCTCCAGCGGCTCTCTCTCGTCCACAGCCGACGAGCGCGAGAGGGAAAGCCCCTCTTTAAACTCATTGGCCAAGTCCACCTGCGATCCCCACGAGCTCATTCTCCTCCGTGCCTCAGCAGCGGCGGGAAGCAGATGGCTGCCCCTCTTTTCTCGAAAAAAGAGACAAACGAGAGCGGAGCTTTTTCATCGAAAAACGCTCACAATGCACGCAAATTGCCCCCTCAAGGACATCGTGTGCGTGCTCCTCGCCCAAACAAAGAACGCAGAGATCGTGTGTGTCATCAGGTGTCAAATAGCGACGACACGGATGACACGGATGCCTAAACGTTCTGCTAGTGCTCGCCATAATAATAGGATAGAGATCGCTCTTACCACATTCACCACATTCAATCAAACAAAACAGTCAGTGAAGACGAAGAAGAGAATGACATGTTCTCCCGGCGCCTATTTATACTAATAGTCACACCGGTAGTGATGTCATGGGCTGTCGCCGGGCCAACGTGTTGTTGGTGTTTTTTCAATGTATGCTTCAGACATGGGTCACGACGAGGCGTTCCCCATAGCGACCCCTAGAGGACGCAGTTCGAAGTTTCCTTGAAAGGGAATCAGGGTCACTCTGAATACATATCTATTGAAAGAATGAGCTAACCTACAAAGGGACACTTTTTATGAGTGTTTGAATGTACGGAAATAAGCAAAGTGCTATGACGCATTTTGTTGAATGGCGTGATTTTGCTTTTAGTTTTCTCCCAAACTATACAGCAAAATGCCTTGAAAATAAATACAGTGATAGTCAGGCTCAATCTGAACACATATAAATTGAAAGAAAGAGCTAACCTATAAAGGAACACTTTCTATGAGTGTTGGAAAATGGGACACAGTGCAAGTGCAAGGACGCATTTTGTTGTTTGGGGTGATTTTGCTTTTAGTTTTCTCCAAAGCTATACAGTAAAATGCCTTGAAAATAAATGCAGTGACAGTCAGGCTCACTCTGAACACATATCAATTGAAAGAATGAGCTAACCTATAAAGGAACATTTTATATGAGTGTTGGAATATGCGGAAATAATCAAGATGCAACAATGGAGTTTGATGTTTGGGGTGATTTTGCTTTTAGTTTTCTCAAAAACTATACAGTAAAATGCCTTGAAACTAAATACAGTGATAGTCAGGCTCACTCGGAACAAATATCAATTGAAAGAATGAGCTAACCTATAAAGGAACACTTTTTAT